GCACAATCTTTTTTACACTCTTGCCAGTTTTTTTTTTTTTTTTTTGGTGCACAAAACTTTTTAATTTTGGTCAAATACAATTTATTTTTCTTTTGTGTGTGTGTGTATGGTGTGTCTTCTGGTGTGGTATTAAGAAATCATTGACTAGGGCTAGGGACGCAGCTCTGGTAGAGCACTTACCCAGTATATCAAAGGGCATGGATTTGACCCCCAGCACTGAAAAACAAAAAAAAAACAAAGACAAAACAAAAACAAAAATCCAGTTCAAGGTTATGAAGGTTCATTTTGTTTTCTTCTAAGAATTTTATACTTGTAGTCCTTTGAACCATTTTGAGTTTAAGTTTTGCATTTTGTGTGAGGGAGTCCAGCTTTATCCTTTTGCATGTGAATACCCAGTTATCCCAGCTCCTTTTGTTGAAAACACTGTTTTTCCCACACTGAATAAGTTTTGGCAATCACTTGCTGAATGGGATGCCTCCTGGAAGTATAACTGGCTTGTTTTTCTATAGTAACACATGTTATAATTCATGGCATCTTCACTTGCCTTCTAAATAAAAGCCTATGTTTGTATTTTCTTTTCTGGAAATGAAAAATCTATGTCTATCAATACCATTAAGATCGCTTGAATATCAGTATGATCAGAAAAAACTATCACAAATGTAAATATTTTCTTATGATAGACATGTTAGTTTAAGGCTTGCAGGCTTACACATAATCCTTATTATGTTGTTAAAAATGAATGAAGATTGTTACAGAAGTAGTAATAGGACTATAATGAATATGAAGAAAATTCATTAATTCTACAAGCCAAGTTAAGTCCTCTGGAAGTTATTTATTTGACAGTGATAAAATGTCACAAGAAATAGCAATATAAGCACCAATGGAAATTCTTTAATAAAAAATTTAGGGGATTTTCAGAACCCAGATTTAAGTATGCATTGTGCAGAGTATAAAACAGTAATAAACTCATTTGTTTGGGATTAATGTGGAAGTTTGAGAAATGTGAAAGTCAAGTCTACCTTTATCCATTTCCTATAGAATATTCTGATGACCCCAGCAACAACCACAAAGTCTGAAGACAGCAACTCACAAATATAGTGAGATCCGTTTAATAATTTTTGAAGATTTTTCCTGTAAAATGGCTTGTATTTCCACAGGTACAATAGTGAAGAAATAAACTTTTCAATTTGACATGTAATATAAAAGAACAATTTTACAAATATATCCATAAAATTTAACTGCTTGTAACACTATACATGGTAAATATGACCAGCCCCTTAACTTCTAGACATTTAATACAGAGAAGCAATCTGTCATCTTGGCTAAAAAGAAACAACTTCCCTTTCATAGAGTTTATTTTTGCTTGTTTAGAAACAGATAAGTAGATCTGGAAAAATATTTGTTTTTCCCTATCTTCCTCCTCTAGGGATTCTTCATGAGGGCAAAGACTTATTTGAGAGGATGTAAGTATTACTAAATGAAAAGACTGAACCTTCTTTTGTTTGACTGCTTCAGTATCACTTAGATTCTTTTAAAAGGATCCTGAAGTTGCCTCAATGGCCTTTGAATCATGAAGCAATGACAACAGAGCTGGGCAGGAGGATCTCTGGACCCTTCACCCACAAGAGCTAAACTGTGAGGAATAAGATTGACAGCCAAGGGACTGAGCTGCATCTGGCTTAAAATCAAGGTCCCATGGTTTGTCCATCACAAATTCCACTGTTATGAGGCAAGATGCATGAAGACAGCCAGTTTTTATCCAGCACTGACAACGGTGATCATACACCTCACACAAACATCACAAGAACAGAATGGCTTTAAAAAAGAAGTTGAACAAAGACAAAAAAACTGCAGGTGACGATTCTATAACCTCCAGTACATTAAATTAAGTAGAAAATGAGCATCTTAAGCTCTCATAAGTGTTCAAATAGCAATACTGAGCTCGCAAGCAACAGAGGTTGGTTGGAGTTTTTCTATGTGAGCAAAAATAAGAGATTGAAGCTTCGTGAAGTAAAAGTTGTCAATTTTCTTAATACAGTATATGTAATAACTTAACTGAATTCCCTATTGGTGCTGGAAAATAAATTCTACTACAATCATGTTTATGCCAGTCCTGGCATATTTCTGCATCCAGATTCATTAGTCTCCTTAATGGAGTCCATCATTTTTCCAATGGCTTTCTCCTTTCTTTAATCCCTAACCCTGAAATTCTATAACCAGTTATACCACATGGCTTCCCTGAGGCACAAAGGTACCAAACTCTATAATTAACTATCGCGGAATGATAAATATGCTCTCTATTTATATTAAAAGAGTTTAATTCTTTTGGGTCACAGAAAGGGGGAAAGACCCAGAAAGCTTAATACTTACTATGCAGTGTGAACTGTAGCCCTTTTTGCAAAAAACTGAACCCAATAAGGGAAATGTTGAAAGCTGCAGTATGTATGACCCAGCAGCACCAATTATTAATAAAAAATTCCAGACTAGAAAAATACTCAGAGCTGTACCCCATCCACTCCGAATCTTTTTTTTTTTCTTGCAGTAAACTGACATAAACAACTGAAAAAAGATATCATCTATGGAAGTAATCATTGTGGCTTTATTTCTGGAAACCTATTTGAAAAAGGCGTATTGGGTCAGGCTGAGACCAGGACAACTGGTCAGTGATTTTGTTATGTACACTTGGAGGGCTGGGAGGGTTGGGAGAGTCAGGAGAGGGTGGGATTGGTCCTTTAATGTGATGGCAAGCCAGGCATAAAAATAAAAGTGGCCTTGGAGAAGTTAACTTTTCTCAATCCTATCTCTCTGCTTTGGTGAGCTAGAGTTCTTTATTCTCACAAACCAAATTGCTTTCTAGTCTGAAGCAAACCCTCATTAGTCAAAAGTGAAAGGGAATCTTATTAAAAGTGGCCAAAGTGAGTATGGTTTCCTTTTGTAGACATGCCCCCTCTCTGCCTCTCCTTAGGCAGGAATGGGAGGGGAACCTCACTTAGAAGCCAAAGGAAAAGATGTGGAGCCAGTAGAGGGTGGCACTGTTAACCCTTTTAAAACCTGGAATTTATTGCCCAAATTTCACCTTGTACTCAAACTATCTGAGTTTACTCCAACTCAGACACTTTGCAGGTTGGAAGATAACTTCCTTGGGAGTCTATGTTGCATGTAGAACTACTATATAAAGTCTCTGACATGGAGAATTATATCAGGGCATAACTTCCTAGGAAAAAATATTTTGGTAGGTGAAATTCAGCCTTTGTAGGTACAAGACCATTTACCATATGAGATAATCATAGGATATCAAGAATCTTCCAACCACCTACCCATACAGTAACAAGAAGGAACATGTTACCATTCTTTGGAGTCCAAAGAATCACAGCAGGCTGAAAAGACGTACTCTGTCCACAAAAGCTATGCATCAGAGGCTCTGACTACATTGGATGACATTTATTCTAGGCAATTTCATCTTTTCCTTTCATTTTTCTGTCTGCAGGTAGAGTAAGTTATACAAAATAGAGGAAATTATCAATAGGAGGACTACTGATGGATTTTTCACATTATTCAAAAATAACAAAACAAATCCCAAAATGAAAACACCTTATCCTAAACAGTGGTATCCACTGAAAAATAAAGCTATTTTAAAACTGACAGGCTGAACTTTTCAAATATTAAGTCAAATTAATCAGCAGCAATTAATAGTAATACATCTTATCGCTTTAAGGAGAAAGAGTATTCAAATAGGTTAGAACAAATGAAAATAGGCAAAATATTTACCAGTAGGTAAAATATGGAAAAATCAATTCAAGTATGGATATAGTATATTAGAATTATATAAATTACACCTATATACAAAGGTTAAAAACATATCTCAAATCCGAAATGGCCCATTTCGGAGGGCTTTAGTTTCCATGAATACTTGTTCCACGTGACAGGGGTCTATTTAGCTCAGCCAGCTTCTCTTCACTGTGGGAGCTGTGACACTGCCGGTACTGAGCACAGAGAGTGAGCATCCAAGAATTATTAATCAAAATGAAAGGAAAGTAACAGAGAGGGATGGAGGAGCTCAGATGAAATTCTGATGTAATTATTCCTCAGTAAACACTCATTTGCTCCCTCAAAATCAGGAATTTCAAATTATCTCTGCAGATGTACCACTTGGTGTTCTGTATATCTAATGCTCACATTTAAATTTAGTTTAATTTGCAAACATTTTCAGAACTTACAGGGCTCCTTTAGCTGCAAGAGAAGGTGACAGATGGCAGAAAGTGAGTGAACAAAAATGACTCTCATTGTGATATGTTGCTTTTAGGCTCACAGAATTTTGGCTTCCTTAAGAAAGAGAAAAAAAAAAACCTTACGAAACCTCTAAAAAGTAAAAGTATATTTTTAATCACCCTTAAATCTTAAATAATTCAGCATATAGCTTAAATCTTAAATAATTTGGTATTAGAGTACCTAGGCTGTGCCTACTGCTATAATAGCCATCTTCAGTTCGTAAATTTTTAAGAATTGCTATATTTTAATCAATCAACCAACAGCTCTGGCCATGTAAAATGAGAATGAGGGACAGACCACATTAAGCAGAAATAACAAAGAACAGACCGAAAAGTTACGGAAAATTCTTTGTTTGAAATGCCAAGTATTTGATGCATGAGGGTAGAAGTAAATTCCACTGAAGTTAAAAAAAAATATGAATATTCTGTCCCACAAAAAGTCAGAAAAGGAAATCAGAAAAAAGCCCTAATTTCAAAACAAGCCCCTCTCCCGAAGGTCTCCTGTCATCAGTCATATGTGATAAGAGTCACCCCTTTGGATGGGTTGGATTCTAGCCACTATCAAGTACTCCCAGTCACTGAACGTCACCCAGGTGACACCTAATTCTCACCACACCGAAGCCTGAACATTAAAAAGCCACCCTTTGAATACATTTCTTCTATGTTTGTAAAATATGAGTTAAAGTTTTGTCCAAGTTTACAAAGGAAAAAACTTGGTTAAAAACCCTAGGTTAAAAAAAACATGGCAGTTGAAATCCAATTATTACACAGATCTGATGGTTTAATCAAGCAGGCTTTGATGACGATGTCACTGTTTGGAGCATGCAACACACCACTGGTATCTGTTAAACTCCTGCTATGATTCTTCACCGTGCGCCCTCTTTTGTCCCCCAGCCCCAGTTCGCCCTCCCCTTAATAAACAGCATTACAAAAGGTAGAATCTAGAGTTAGTGGCAAAATCTTCACAGTAACTTGTTAATGACCTCAAAGTTGGCTGTCGGGCGTCAGTCAACGGGACCTTGGAAAATCAGTTTGATGCAGTTCTGCTCGCCGACCAGCTGCGTGGCACAGAATGGGCAGGCGGCATGAAACGCGTGAGTTCCATGAGGCAGCGGGATCTGAGACCAGTATTTTGCAGACTTCTCTGAGCACACGTGTCCACAAGGCGTGAAAGCGTGGGTGGGTGGTCCTGCGTCTACGTAAAATCCTGCCTCACAGCCAAGCCAGAGAGGCACATAGGGGCCCACAGTCCTGCACATGGGGCACTCCCGCTCATTGGCCTCTGTATCGCTCCGATGGCCCCAGTTGTGGTAGCCGTGCACGTGGCCGCAGCTGAGGTACGCCCAGGGCTGCTTCTCCTCCACCACCTCTTTTCTGTTGATGCTGGGGAAGGCCAGGGTGTTGAGCCCCACGGGGCACTGGGGCCGGGCAGCGTTGATCTCCTGCCGGAGGGCTTCGATGTGTTTCTGAGTTGGAGTGTGAAAAAGGCCATCTGCGGTTCTCCAGAGAAGAGTGGCCCCGCACAGGTCAATGAGGGAGCCGTCCTGAAGGACATTGGTCTCACTTTCCACCTATGACAGGTTTGACAGACATGCCTTTTAAAAGCAAAATCCTGAAAAGCATGGCAGAAATCATTCCAACTTTCCTCCCAAAATAAAAACTCATTTTTGAACAAGACACAGAGTTGATTTATCCTACTAAAACAAGACTATCTTGCCTGAGTCCCAGTTTCTTCATCAGAACACATACGTCCAGTACACAAGGCCCTGGGCAAAATACATGCAGCTTTACAAGCTCAGTCAATGCAGTGTTATTTTCATGACCCTTATGTCCATAATACAATTACTCCTGACCTCGTAAGGGAGGGAGAAATCCTACTGGGACATCTGGCGAAGGCCATGCGCATCTTGGTCAGAGCCAATGCAAAGGATCCTTATGGAGCCTGCAATTGTCACTAAGTGACCTACACTCTCTTGGCCACCCTTAGCTTCATGCACTCCTCGAATCCGTCTTTCACCCTTCGGTCTTAAGGTCTGAGGTGGAAGCCTTCAGGATGAGCCTCACTTTTACAGGATGTCTATGCCATGTACCAAGTGCATGCATGACCGATGGGCGGCTGACAAGCGGCCCAGTCAGCAGGAATCTGACCTCTGCCTCCTTGTGCCAGATGCTTGCTAAGAGCTAAGCCTACAAAGACCAACTTCTTGTGTTCTGTAGTGGGAGGTGGGCATGCCCAGAGCCAGGAGTGAATAAGGTCAGTAAAGTGCCATTAAGACTACAGCCCCACAGTGGCTGAGGGTATGGTCTTTGGAGCCTACTGCCTGGGACACACCTGGTTCTGTCACTTAGCTGTGTGACCTTGGACAAGTTAATGAAGCACCTGTCCCTCACTTTCCTGTAAAATTTAGATAAAGAGGCTGTGAGGGTTACATGTTAGTTCGGATAAGGATGCTAGATGGGTCTGGTAGGCAGTAAACACTATGTAAAGGTTTGAAGCTATCACTTTGATGTGCAGAAGTCAGCAATGGTTTTTCAAAGGGTCTTCCTTGAATAGAGACATGAAAAAGATGTTGGGAGTCAGGCGGTGGGCTAGAAGGCAGGTATACCACAGAGGGAGGAAGAAGCAGGCAGCATGGGTGTGGAGGGAACAACAGGGAGCAAAGCACCTCCACAGTGAGCTGAATAGGCTAGTAGAAGTGCAGGGCCCAAATGCCTGACAAGAGGCCCAGGCTGGAGGCTGGCTGGCCTCATGTGCCCAAAGGGCACCAGTGGGGAGGCCTAGGTAGCCATAAAAAGAACTGACTGGGCTTTTACAGTCACCTGTTGCAGTCTGGAGGATGGGCTGGAGGGCTGCAGGGCTAGAGTGTGGAGACAGTTGGGGCAGTTCTCTCTCTAGGAAGAGAGTGGGTGTACCTCAACAAAGAGTATAAGTGGCCACAACAAGAGGCATAGGGATTAGATGTTAAGGAATTAGATGCAATAGCCCTGAGCTCCTGATTTTATATATATTCAAATGTTACTCACAGGGACTAATTTCAAAATTACTATATATATTTAATATAACCCATCAATACACGTCATGTTTGGAGTTACTTCTTTTTAGTAGCACTGACAAAATTCCCTGGCACACAAAGCTGCCTAAGCAAGGGCACAGTAACCACTGAGGGCAGGAAATTCATCCTGTGATGTGCCCCTGGACGATCTCATCATGGATCCCTTTTTGGTTTTCCATTTTATTTTTTGCAGTGCAGGGAACCAAACCCAGCACTATGCAAGCTAGAGCTAAGTCCCAGTCGTGTGTATGTGTGTGTGTGTGTGTGTGTGTGTGTAACTGGGGTTTGAACTCAGGCTTCCCACTTGCCACATCTCCAGTCCATTTTTGCTTTGGTTATTTTGGAGATGAGGTCTCATGAACTATTTGCTTGAGTGGCCTCAAATCATGACCCTCCCGATCTCAGTTTCCCAAGTAGCTAGGATTATAGACATGAGCCACCAGCACCCACCTGTGGGGAGCAGGTTAAAGCCTGTGAGAACTGGACACAAGCAAGGCGAGATGCAGTTAATTGCTTTTACCTACAGGCTGAGATAGGCACAGCCCCAGCCATGAAACAGGGAAAGGCAGAACAGCTGCATCTCCTAAGCAGGTGTTCAGAGAAGCAGGAACTCAGGTTTCTACTGTTACAATGTCACACCCCTCCCCAAGAGCCTCTGCTCCACCTTGTTTGCTGCTGTTTATGAAAGGCCCACTGAAGGAGAGTTGGGGTTTTTGGCTTTACTTTGGGCTTTTGGACTTTTTGCTTGGCTTTTGGCTTTTTGCTTTGGGGGGCTTTTTGCCTTTGAATATTGGGAAGAAGCTTTTACTTTGGGCCATTTGGTGTGGGAAGCTTTTGGAAGGGAAAAGAACTATCGAATGGAAAAATTGCTGAAGGAAAAACAGTTGTTGAAAGGAAAATGCTAATGGGAAAAGGGAAAAATTGCTGAAGGGAAAATAACTGTTGAAGGGAAAATGCTAAAGAGGGGCTGATAGAAAGTCTGCACTGAGAACTTTAATGTAGGCTTCAGAAAGCAAGGCTGAGAAAGAACTTCATACAGAGGCCTTAGGAAAGCTAAAGCTAGAGAAAAGCCAAAGAGAACATGGGACCGTGCACAGTGCAAGTCTAAGGACCGAGACTTAAGAGTTATGCATAGGCAGTTTTTAGGCGGCTGCTGGTTTGCGAGTTTGAGCACCGAGGCTGTGAGAGAGCTAAAGACAGAGGACAGCGCAAGCCTGGGGGGCAAAAGACTTTAAGAGCGATTAAGCTAAAGATAAACTGAGAACAAACATGGGACAGTGTGAGCCCAAGGAAAGAGACGTGAAGCAAGGTTTTAAAGACTTTAGAAGCCAGTGCGAGGAAACAGCGCCCCCCTTCACCCAGCCAGTGTTTGTTTTTTTGAGACTGGGTCTCACTACATAGCTCAGGCTGGCATCAAGTTCATGATCCTCCTCCCTCTGCCTCCAGAGTGCCGGGATTGCAGGTATGTACCACCATGCCCAGCTCAGTGAATGCTTTGTGCTTATTCAAGGAGGCAAATGCTCTGGTGTGAACTATCTCAGGTGAAAGCTGAGTGTGGCTCCCTGTGAGAGGTTTTGAATGGCAATCAGGACTCCAGAGACTCTCACTCTGGGGTCTGAATCCCATCTGCACCACCTTGTAACTATGATGCTGGGCAATATTTAACTTCTCTATGCCACATAGAGGTGAATGACTCCACTTCCACAATGAGGGCTGCAGTGCAGATTAAATGAGCTAAATCTTTAACAAGGAGATGTTAACACCTAATGCCTACACACAGAATCTACCTGCACTGCTGTAATGATTAATAACTGATTTGGCTGACTTCGGTCACTCTTGCATAAAACTATCTGATAATCAGAGACAAAAAGTTTTTTGAAAAACTACTTTTACATTCCTTTCCCTATTTGCAATTTTTTAAAGAGTTCGTTCACTTGGCCTTCCTTGGAAAATGCTTCTCCTATGTATTTAGCCATGATGCCCCAAGACTACAGGTGCAGAAGCTGCACCTGTGGATGAGCAGTGGTGTGGTGTGCAACAGACACAGCAAATAACAAGCACCTACAACAAACATCCAGTAGGGAACTGCAAACTAGGTTAGTCAAACAGTCCCCCAGTTCGTTTCCATTTGGTTATCCTTCTTATTGAAAAACGCTAGCGCACATCCTCCCATTCCTTGTGTGGTTTTTTTGGGGGAACTTTAGAGAACCCTGTCCTTTGCAGCTTCTAGTGATTTGGTCCCTCCTGTTCTCCCTAACAAAGTACAGGTAAAAAGTTTGCTGTGACTCTTTCAGTGGCTATGCCACATGGCTACAGCAAGATCAGAAACATCAAACTCCTCATTTGTTATATAAACTCCCCAGATAATTATCTCTATAGAAGAAAGGGCTAAAAAGCCAACTGTTTTAGGGCATAGCAATAAGTTGTGGTAATTATAGGAAAATATTAACATGCCAGGTCATGAAGTATATGAAAGATTTCAAGTAAAAAGTTGTAACTGTGACTTTGGCAAACAATATAGTGAGTTCTATATTAATTTTTTTACTATGAACTTAGGGGAAAGAGCTAAATTGATTATTTCTTAGTTCTAGAAAGTCTAGATCATCTTTAATTTAAAATTTTTACAAATTGGTTTTATACTGCTCAAAGTTTTTTCAAATCCGTGAAGTTTTACACTAAAAGTAAGTTTATTCTTTTTAAAGTGGATTTAAGTAGGATTCTGTGGTGAGATACATACTAAAAGATTACGCTCTTAAGATGGTAAGGAGCAAAACACAGTTAATTTCACTGCAGGGAAAGCTTAACCTTCAAAGGCCACTCATTTCCAGGAGCTTGTGGCATCCTCCTTTTCTTGGGACAGGTTACTCCACTCCAGTCCTGGTACAAAAGTTCTGAGTTTAGGGAAAGGAGAGATGGTCCCTGAGCGAGGTTTCTATAGTCTGGAACCTTTCACAGGGTGGGGCCCACTCACCAGCTTTCCCCGCTGTTGGGCCGACCTGGTTTCCCGCAAGGTGTACACATCTCCACAGACGGAGATCTCACGCCAGACCCCAGGCTGGGACTCCTCGGTGAAGCCCCCTCGGGGATGCATCACCAGTACACCATTGGTAGTAAGCCCATCCATGTGGCCATCAGGGTTTTTCCACTTTGCTGCCTTTTCCTGGAGAACACAACAGACCAAAAAAAGCAGGTTTAGGTGACATTCGAAAGGTGGGACTCTGGAGTCTCCTTAAAATACGAGGTGGGACAGAGGGGAGGAAAGTGATGAGTTTTTTCCTGTGTAAAGCTAATAATAGGAAAAAATATGCAATTATTCTGACAATTCTGAAATGGATAAATGGTGTATAACTGGCTACACATTGTATCTACCTTGGGACCTTAGAAATGCCCTGGCTCCTGATCTCCCTTAGAGATCCCCCTGCCCCCTGCCTCATGTTCTGGTACATATCCAGGACTGGGCATTGAACCCAGGGCCTCACACCTGCTAGGCAGGCACTCTGCCCCTTGAGCTTTGCCCCCAGCCCTGTTTTCTTTCTTCAGTTTTAATTGTGAACTGCTCTTATCCTGTTAACTAAAAATGCTTCACGTGTACTCATTATCTGGGTACAGAAGGAAGGACAATCATTAAAAAAAAGACTTTGTGTTAAAAGTAAAAATTTTTTTAAAAGTTAAGTCAACATGTTGTAGCCATTTTGTATTCAGGCAAATCAGTGTTTACATCCTCAAAGATGTACACAATTGGGAGGACAAACACTCTGGGTTGCCTATGCTACAAAGACACCCCTCTTTCTTGGTGACAGAGTCTAGTTACTGTCTATAAGGCAGGGGAGGGAGACGGGGGCAAGTCCTGCTTAGTGTTAGCTGATCATAACAGTCTAGCCCCTTCCTAACATCTGATGTGGGGAGAAGGATATATCTCATGCCTCTTCTTTGTGGGGGGAACTGTCTCATTGTAGCAGATGTTAGGAAGCACAGCTGGAGGCAGATCTCCCCTGAGGAGGCTGGTGTGCTGAAGAGAGGCAGAGGGCAAGACAGAAAGAACCAAGTGCTTGGACCTCACAGAACCACTGAGTCGACCAGCCTCAGAGCTGGCCTTCCTCTGTGCCTCTTGTTACATGGGGCAATACATTTTTATTATCGTTTAGGCCACAATCAATGTTTTTTTTCCCCCCTGCAAAAATATCCTGATTCAAAAGGGAACTGTATTAAAACAGGATATTCATAAAACTTTTGAGGTTCATTTATAAGGTGACCTGAGGACTTTGTGTTCTGGACTATGCACCCTATCTATAATACCCAGTATGGAACACAGCAAAACCCAATGAAACATTTCCAATGCGTGAATACCTCACTAACCTTGGAGCTGTAATGATATAGATTGGCCATTTATTTTTCCCTTTGAAATAAAACTCTTAAATTCACCATAAATATGTTAGGCACAATGTCTATATATATACGTATGTATATATATATATATATATATATATATATATATATATATACACCTATATATGTACTTATATAGACTTTAAAAAAGTAATTACTGAATATAATTGATACAGCAAACAGAACAAGTAACAGTAATAATTGATATTTAATAACAGCTTTTCAAACTGGCCTTCTAAAAACTAAAATCTCAAACTTGAAGTAAAGGCATCACACAAATGCAAATATTCCCCCAATAAGATGTCCTATATCATAAGAACGGGTGCTTTTCATAAAATCACATACTTATTAGTAACAATACTTACTCCAAGAAATATGTTTTTGGAGGAGTCAAAGCCTGCTGCAAATATCCGTGCCGTGTATGGTTCATTTCTGTCACACACAATCCTGCAGGCAAACCTGGATATAGTGCTTTGAGTGATTTGGGCCTCCTCATTGTTCTGGCTGCCAGAGATGGTATCTGTAACAACGAAGTCAATGGGGCTCTCCGTTGATCGGCCCACCTACATGAATCAAACACACTCGTGATTCAACTGAAAAATACCACATTGCTGTGATCTGTTCCCAAAAAATGGGTGTCCAGAGTCCCTCCAGCATTCACCACTCTGTTCTGAGGATCAGAACTTAATAAAAAAATTTCATTTGTGCTCCTTTTCCTTCTTAACTCAGGGAGACATTCTGGGCACAAACCATCAGATCTATCCTCCTTACTACATACCTGAATGCATGACGCCATGACTGTTGACCACAGGTACAAGGCTGTTCAGCAGATCTCTAGAACTTACTCATCTTGCTTAACCAAAACTATGGCTATTGATCAGCACATCGGGTTTTAAATCTGAAGAGAAAGCTCCATCTTCCATTCTGGAGGAAAATATTAGATCCTTCCCTACACATTAGATTTTATTTCTTCAATCCAGTAGAAATATTACTTTTTTCACAGAAAATCATTCTTTTTTTTTTCTTTCTATTTCTAGGAAAAACAAGCTTTTAAGTAAACCAAGGAACTCTTGCCGCCCACTCCCTTGCTCAGCTCTTGAGAATGGTTTTCCTAAGTAAATCCAACAGTGACTCATAGCACTGAGCAAGAATAGCCCTTACCTGGAGACAGAGAAAAATGTGGATTATCACTACTCAGTGTATACGAGAATGATATAAAGGGCTTGTACAAGTTGGCCCAGAGTTTGGGATGTAGCCAAATGAAAGACTTAAAAAGCTGCTCTTAGCAGTTCATGTTTGAATTCTAAAAAGTTCTCTAGGGGGAAGTCTAAAAAGTTGCCAATAATGTTATTATTTTTCTTGGTGAGATTTAAATGCTGCCAGAAGGAATATATTTCATTAGGAAGATCTTAAGAGTTCTAACAGAGCTTTTCCTATTCAAGAAATACAAATAAGACAGGTACTACTTTTTCTGTGAACTATTTGGAAAAGTGTTTGTTTATGAATAAGGAAAACCTCAAGATGGAATATTAAACATTTATATATTGCTGGTCTATGAACTGGAAAACAGTGATAAACATTATATGTATCAAAAGCCTTAAGTCTAAATCATTTATATGTAAATGAGGAATTTCTCACTAATGGTATTAATGTCCTTCCTAACAATAGTTACCTTGATTCTGAAGCTGCCAGTGGGAAGAATGCGCAATCCTGTGCATTCATCTTTCTCCACAAGATAGGGTGTGAGTGTGAGTGTGAATAATGCATATAGTCCTGAAAATCAATTTCCAAGGTATTTTTATTCTCACCACAAGATTCTGTCTGGAACATAACAATGTAGAACACATTTTTAATCCAAATGAATAGAGTAAAAAGGTGTCTTATATCACTTAACTCTGCTTGCTTAGTGGAAAAACATTAAATTTCTTTTGTAAATCTCTCATATACATTCTCACGCACAGACTGTCCTTGTAAAACCAACAGACAATGGACATGAATTTTCTCTTTTTTTTTTTTGTTTGTTCTGTTTTTTTCATTTACAACCTTTAATTTCTTGTCTTAATGAAATGTGCCTGGAGTACACTACATATCTGCTTTCACTTAGATTTGCGTATTGCCCAAATGTATGCATTGCAGGTTTAGAAAGCATACAACTTGTTCGACAATGCAGCATAAAAATCTAAATTAAATGTATTATAAAATTGTATCAGACAATTCATCTTTCTAAAGTTGTACAATCTTCTCCCTGCTGGATTCACTGAAAAGCTGGGTGTGCAAATCAGAAGCTCTACTGACTCACAATGCTGATTTTTTAAAAAGCTTTTATCAGAAAAAAATGAGAAAAGTAATAAATACTTATTGCCTGGTCATCTCACAAAACTGGAGCCCCTACAATGGCAGGCTCTGTACTAATTTCATCAGTCTCATGGAAGAAAGCTCTGTCATAGAAGAAAGCTGCCCTCTTTTGCAGCGCCACACAACTGCTCCTTCTCTCACACTGGCAGGCGCTCCACCATCAAGGCACTTCCCAGGCTGTCATTTGTCTACAGAAATTACTCCCCATAGAAAGGCCACAATTCTGAGTTTATCCAAATTTACTAAATTAATGTCTCTGTGAATTAACTGAAGTTGACTGTAAAACATGAAATTTTATTCCAACTGGAACATCCTGCTAGGATCAACTATTTTAAGTCATGACCTTATCTGACTGGCCATATAAAATTTGTTTATCAATTCACTTCCATTGACATCTAACCTCTGGAGTGCTAGTAAACTTAAATTTTAGGAAACAAGCTTCATACTGCTTTTGGCAGGAAAGACTTCTAAGTCACTTTCCTGCTGAAAACTTATTTTCGAAAACCTGAAAGTTGTCCTTTCTTCTATTAGATCAGTGCCTTTTTTTTTTTGGTGGTGCTGGGGTTTGAACCCAGAGCTTTGTACTTGCTAGGCAGGTGCTGTATCATCTGAGTACTCCCCTCAGCCGTTAATCCTCCTATTTTATGCTTTCTGTCATAGGTGGATGACAGCCATGCACCACCATGCCCAGCTTTTTCCCCTTGAGATGGGGTCTTATGAACTTTTTACCTGGCCTGGCCTGTACCTGTGCTCCTCCTGATTTCCAACTAGATTACAGGTAGCTATATTACAGGTGTGAGACAATGCATCTGGCTTCGACTCCAAACTACTTTAAAGGCAGTCATGTAGATAAGCCAAGATGTTTCTGAATTTCATCTGATACTCAGAGAACTAGTACTCATATAGCACCTACAAGGAGAATTTTACTCCACTCAAAATACTTTACATTTTGTATATAAGGAAAGTGTGCATGAATGCCAGTTGAGCACAATGCATGGAAGATGGCACTGAAGCCCCCTCACCTATCCTTCCTTGCCTCCTGCACCTGTAAATTGATTTCCAGTGTCCCTCTCATGACAAGCATGAAATGTTGCTGTTCCTATCTAAGACCTCTCTATGGATGCCTGGCATCCCAACAGTCTCCCTTCTCATGGAAGGATTTGCTCCTGATTATCCCCACTCCCCGTTTTTTTCTTGAATCATCACTTGCTTCTTCACACGGATCCTGTTATGGGCTTTGAAACACATTCAGGGACTTTTCAAACTGGCTAAAGTAGTCATTTTGTTTTCATTTCTGTTAAAAATTCCAACCACTCAGTGATAGCTTTCCAAAATACATTAAAAATGAATACTAGAAAAATGATACTGTGCTCCAACATTTCAGCAATACTGGGTTGCTATAGGAGTTTCAATGTCTGCCGTCCGTGCCTTCTGCACTGTCAGACTTGCTACTTGCCAAGCTCATAGTTTGAGCAGCATTGCTCAACACTGGGCTCCCTTCCTTAGAAAGGCTTTCCTCCTGCAAGCAACCCTCCAGCTCTAGGGTGGGTCTCACATTCACTCACCAGCAGCACTTCGTGGAAAACCCATCACCAACTACAGCATCCATTTCCTCACCCATCTCTTCAACTTTCCTCCTCAACCCACTCCTACAGGGATTCCTTCTGCTCACCTTTACTGCAATCACTTGGGCCAAGGTTCCCACAATCAACACACTGCTGAACACAGTGTTTATAGTCACCTGGCATTAAAATAGTGAACACTTCCATCCCTCTTCTCTATGTAGTCTCATCAAATCTCATTTGTTAGCCTCAAGCCCCTGATCTCTACCTGAGCTGCAGACTAACACACCCAATCTCCATTTATGCCTAATAAGTATCTCTAACATAAATGTTCCAAACAGAACTTAGATGCTCCTTCAGCCCCTAGATTTTCTCAAGGCAATGACTGACTGGCTACAAATCCTGACCCAAGATTGTTCACTTTCCTCCATGCCACACTATCCTTCATAAATCTTGTCAAGTGGACCTCCAAAATACCTTCAGTCCATCCACTCTGCCCATTGTAGTTCCACCTCTTGGACTTTATTATCTTAGTTCTCGGCTATGAAATTCAGAGGCTAGTATGAATCAGAGTTTCTCTGACAGTGGTCCATGAGCCCCTGAAGTCCCCTGAGGACTTGTCAAGGGGTCTGAGTCCATAAGGCCAAAACTGCCTGTAGAAGATGTCATTGCCTTTCTACTGGGAGGATCACAGTCAGTGTGGCTGCAGGGCATGGAGCCAAAGCACAAATCAAAGCAGGGCGCCACACAGTACTAATAGTCATTACCTCCTCTACTGCCACATACTCAGTTTTTAAAAGCTATTAATTTTTATTAAATTTTGAGTCTTTCAATATGCTGTGTGACAAAATAAAGCACTTAGAAATTGGTAACAGGAAACTAAAAAATCCAACTAAATCTTTTATTCTGCAGAAAAAGAAGTAAATGACGTGAGTAGAACACGACTGCACAATAGTGAAGAATACACTGTTCATGTCACAACATGTCATTGAAGAACAGTACATGAAATGGTGAAAAATTACTAAGTAACAAGATTCTTCCTAAAGGAAGTCAGTGCTTCACACTTTAGGAATACTTGACTATTACATGTGCCATCAGAATAAATTGCTTAATTTAAATGGTGAAAACTGAACCAGCAACAATTATAAATTATTCTTAATTCACTTTTTTTAATTATTGAGAACACACCCTATCTATGTAGAAAATCTGATAAATCTTTACTTGTATGAGTACCAACGAATCTTTTAAACTGAAAATGCATGATTTTGCTAAGTACAAAGAAATAATTATAATATTAAGCTCCATAAAAACATCAACAGGGAAGTCTATGAATATAACTTAATTAGGTCTTCTTGAGAAGTCTTCTTTAGCAGGAGATGATAGAAAGATATTTAGAAAGTTATATAATGGAATGACATGCAGTTTAACCATTGCTAATATCTTGCTCAAATAAAATAATTCTTACTTTTGAGTTTAAACTGGCTATATTTATGACTATGACCCTTTGTCTTCATCTGTCTATGACTGTTTAATTTTTTTAAACTAACACACTCACATGGTCCCCAAATGAGAAAGTGTGAACTATCTTCCTACATACCACCTGCCTAGTCCCCTTCCCCACAAAGGGAACATCTTATGAATGTCTTGTTTATACTTTTGGAAATTTTTAATGCATATAAGCATTATTTAAATCATCTAACAATACTAATTTAACATTTAATATTTAATGTAACATTTAACATAATTGCTTATACTTAATACTTTCATTTAACTTGTTAATATTTAACATTAAGTAATCTTAATCGAACCTAATGCTATGAGTAGGACTCATATTTGATGATGTTAATATCTAATCCATTTAACGTGTTTGGAGTTCTTTCTGAGTCTGTATGTAGAGTCTCTCCGTGTTCTGCTGTGCTGCCTTGGCAGGACTCCCTCCACTGTACAGCTGCACACAAATTTACTGACCTGGTCCTCTACTGAAGGACTTTTAGGTTGTTTCCAATCTTCTGCAATTAAGCAAGCTTTGAGCAAGAACTGTGTACAAATGTCATTTTGTAAGTATGTAAGGATATCTCCAATATAAAGCTATAGAAAGAGAAAAGCTTTAGAAAGACAAAAGGTGGATCGAAGCATGTAAGCAGTTCATATTTTTCAAAGCTATCTCCCAATCACTCTCCCACAGAGGTTATATCAATTTGCAGCATGTAGAGGACGTCTATTTCTCTTACATCTTTGACAAAACCTTCTGGACTTTTTCCAATAATGATAAGTGAAAAATAATAGTGTGATTATTTTAATACCTGTGATTTTAATTCATTTTTTTTATAAATGAGGTTGAGCACATTTTCTTATTTTTAAGAGCTATTTAATTCCCCTTTTTGATGAATTACCTGTCAAATCCTTTGTTGATTTGTCTGTTAACTACAGTCTTTTTCTTAGTGATTTCTAGAATATATATATTTTGGACACTAACCACTGTAATATGAATTGTAAATATCCCCCCCACCACCTTTGTCATTTCTCTTTTGTTTTTACTTTATTGTATTTTGACCACACAGAAATTTAACTACCTAAAAATCAAAACATATCCTTCATTTCTTTTGTGGTTTGTGGGCTTTATTTTAATAATTAGAAAGTTCTTAACTTGAAGTTATACAATAATTCCCCATGTTTCCTCTAATACTTCTACTTAATCTTTTAGAAAAGTCTTTGAATCTTCAACCTATTTGGAATTTTATGGTGTGAGGCACTGATAACTTTTTCCCAGTTGGCTAATTTATAGCATTTTTACTATTAAGTTTTCACTTAATGGACCTACAGAAAAGTATGTATTTCTTCCAAATTTCGACACAGGCTTCACAACACTCTGTTAGTTAATGTTTCCCGGTTCATAGGCAATGAAGAGTATCTTACTATTATTTGATATTTCAAATAATATCAAATATTTATACTTCTTTTCAGAACTGCATCTTTGTTTTTTTTGTTCATTTTTTAAAGTTTGAGAAAAGTTGATTACCATGTTACAAATATCAATCCTTTGTCTACTTAATTTGTTGACTAGATTTTCCCTAGTTTGTTTGCCTTTCAATTTTTTGACATCCAGAAAGAAATCTATTTCTCAGCTGTTATTAATCCTTCCTACTCCAAGAATATGGATTTGCCTTAATGCTGTTCTAGGAGTTTTCTTTCTTCATTTTTGTTTAACTGCTTATTCTCCAGAATTTACTTTGGCATACATTATGACATCAGTATCCACCAAACTTTTTTGACATTTGTTTCAACATTACTTATTTAATAATTTAACTCTCCATTCAGAAATGCAAAGCCCTATCACTTCCAACTCATGTTCGCTTTTTTCCTTTATTCGTCTAAATTTTAATTTTCTATTGTTTTAAAGTAGCAAACCTTGGATAAACTCATTAATTTATTTTTCATTTTATTAGCTGATGATCTTTTTTCCTTTATTTCTTTCTGGACTATCTAGGATATACCACTAAGACTATTCCTGAACCCCTCCTCTACTTTAATTACTGTCATTTGTTTTTAAAAAAAACTTTTGATGTAAATGTTTAGTACTGTGCTTTTCATTCTTTTCTTAAATTTTAATTAGTAACGGAAGCTTTACATTTTCTAGAAGAGAAAAAGATGTTGGCCATATCACATGAGTTTTGCTATACAGTATTTCACAGTTATTTCTGAAAGGCCTGTAACAGTTTTTTGCTTTGGTATAGTGGTATTTGAAATCGGGGCCTTGGGCTCATTAGGCAGATGCTCTTCCACTTGAACCACACCCTCAGTCCTCTTCTGCTTTGGTAATTTTTCAGATACGGTCTTGTGTTTTTTCCCTTACCAACCTCAGACCACAATCCTCCTACCTGTGCCTCCCAAGTAGGTAAGATTATAGCTGCATCCCACCATGCCCGGCTTGTTGGTTAGATGAAATCCTGCTAAACTTCTGCCCGACTGGCCTTGGACTGTGATCCTTTCAATCTCTGCCTCCTCAGTGGATGGGATTACAGCTGTGTAGCATCATACCAGGCCTATAATTGGTTTTAACGCTAGTAGTCTTAGGAAGTATTTTAAATGTTAATTTTTAAAAGTGGTTGGGTTTAAAATTATTTTTATTCTTAATGTTAATGTCTATTTCTACTACACTAAAATCTGACAAAATGCCTTATTTCTTTTCACGTTTTTAAGAATAAGTTTTCTAATTCTTTCAAAAACCAAATGGGACTAAGTTTTGTATTATCCTCACCTCTAACTTCCTGGACATCACCAAACACTTCTGTGCTGGATGTTCTCGTTAGATATCAAAATACAGAAGTCAAAATGTGATAAAATTTGCATTAAAAACAAAGAAGTTACCTGAAACATATCCGTGTCTTTATCATGCGTGTACTCGACCACCACAGTCTGATTTCTTGACAAAGTATAGGAATACTGTGCTGACCTTTGCAGCTGATGGCCTAATCATGAAATAATAATAAAAAAAAAGAATAAGAACTCATTAAAATTTCATTTTACCAACCTGCCACAATTCTTTTTTGCAATTCAGGATCACAAAATCCCAGCACAAGCCTAATGGTCAGCGCCCGTCCCTGTGTTCTGCCCCTAAATCAAGATGAGCCAAAAGTAACAATTCTGGTTTTATCATGTAATCATGTGAACAATATTCTATTTAAATCAAATCAAAGTTACTTTACTAGTTTGCAAGAATTTATTCAATCACACTTCAGGGAAACATACGCTTCTTCCTGATTGCCAAAACTCCGTGATAGAATTTTTGGAGCAATTGAAGTAATTTAAAGTTTCAAAACTTATCTCACAAGACAGGTAAGTCAGTAACATTTTGTTATATCATTTTTTTGAGGTTAGAGATTTTAAGCACAGTACATGAGTCATTGAAAAAACCCTAAAAATATTTCTGCATTAAAATGTTCTAATTGATGACTGTGTGTCTTTACTCTTCTATGTCTCATTTTCATCTTGTATAAGCAGTTGCTAGAGCCAGGTATTTCATGAATTAATAAGTAAGATAGGTAGGCATGGTGGCACATGCTTGTAATCCTAGCATTCAGTAGGCAGAGGCAGGAGGATCAAGAATCCAAGGCCAGCCTGGACCACATAGTGAGACCCTGTCTCCAAAGGAGAACACACACAACTTGCATATTTTTCTCTTTTTAGACTAGAACAAAATTAATATTCTATTCAAATAATCTAGAATAGTAAGATAAGATACTGCTCTTATATTTTCCATATTAATACCATTTGAATACATCTTAAGTTGTGGCCATGAACTTTTAATACTTCTAAAATTAACAAAGAAATTGACTTAAGAAATTGTATGCCGACTTGTTTCAATTACATTTTCTCACTAACTTAGCTTAATTTATCTTCATTTCTACTCTTTCACACAGGCTTTCCTATTGAGCGTTACTGTATGATGGCACTATATAAAGAAACAGAAGGACGCATACAGCAAGTCAATGGAAGCATACTGGGAACATTTACATTTGACTGTGGTAATTTCTTAGAGCAATAAGCAGTAAATGATTCCAAATCATTCTTGAAGTTAGCCTGGGAGTGTAAGGAAATATAGGCCCCAAAGGTGACCACGTGGAAAGGAGTGATCTAGCGAAGAGATTCTTTTTTGCTAGGTGGGAGAGGGAGAGAGCAGAGAGCCAATGAGAGAAGTAGGAAGGGCAGGGGCTTAAGTACCCTCAGTGGGACTCAGCATGATCTGATTGGTTAGGATCTTATGGTTCATGCTGATTGGAGGTTGGGGCAGAAGGAGAATTCAAGCTAGACTTGAGGCAGGACCTGACCCTGGAAAACAGAAGCTTAAGGGTGCAGTAAGAACCGAAACCTATCGGCGCCATTATTGCCAACATTCCTCCCTTTTTTGTCTGTTAAGGAAGGGGGCGTTGTGTTCACTCTGGCTTCTTTGAGCTGGCAAGGGGCGGCGTAGGGGAAGGGAGGGTTAGTTGGCAAACAATGTTGGGGTGCTGAGCCTCATGATGGCGTATACCCAGGCTCCAAAAATGAAGATTTCCTTTTCCCTGAAGTTGATGAAGGTCCCTTGCAGCCACAGGTGGTAAAGACTCTCAAGCCAATCCTCCAACCTCCGCAAGGTGGGTATCAGCCAACTATCCTGGCGTTTTGGAGAGGTTGGTATCCCTGGAGGTACAACTGGTTAAATTTTTGATTAGCAAGAGCAGACATGCAGTATGATACGAGGGAGGAAGCTTAAGAATAGGAGAGCAAGAACATAGGCACTAGGATGGGCATTGGCCAGGAGAACCACTGTGAAGTGTTGTTCCCTAGACAATTTCAAGAGTCCTCCAACTACAGAGAGAGAAATGGTGGCCATACATCATCTAAGACCCAAATAGGAATATTACGAGGAGCATAAAATGGTGTCCTTTTGGGGTCCACATTTCTAACAGGGAGTCTCATGGTTAGTTAATAATTTGCCCTGAGAAATTTCATGACTGAACTGATGTTTTATTTTACATGCTTTATTAAGATAATACAAGTATAAAAGATAATATAGATCTTTAAATTGGAAAATATTTCTTAAACTACTCAATTCTACTTACAAGTATAAATTTCCAAATTTTCACTAGTCTGAGTTAGGTAAATTCAATTGTATCAGTGTGACAAAATTTATAAAGAACTATTTCCAGTTTAAGATCGGCAGATGTGCTGGACATGTTAACTGGCTGTATAATATTTCATACTGTATACATATACCAAGCCATCATGTTATATACCTTTAAAATACACAATTTTCATTGTCAGTTGTTCCTCAATAAATCTGGGGAAAAATTAAATTATAAGACAATTAGTGGATACTTGTTTATCTTTTTAGTCAGTGAAAAAGCCTAGTTTAGAAAAAAAATAAAATTCAATCAAGGAGTGATTATTTACAAAGTAAGTTATTTTAGGGTCACTTAAGATAGATGCAATTTATCAGAATACGAATTCAAACACAACTTCATGTGGAAGCACTTATTACATAAACTAAGGACTTAACAAGTGCCACCACACAAAACTTCTTAAAAAAGGAAAAACATCTTTGTATGAAAGTGTCTTCTTAGGTAACCAATATGCCTTAACTAGAAGACAGATACGTGAACCTTCCAGATGTCTGGGGAGCAGCTCACAGGTGAAGTTTCTCATGCTCAAACACCTTACCTTCAACTGATTATAAACTCTGTGTCTATTCCATAACATGTTCATCAACATTTCTCCCAAATGTACTGGGAAACTGGTGCCCAGGAGGCTCACTGTGCCCACCCTGGGGCCTAGTTCAGCCCCGGGCAGGGTACCCTGGAGATACTTCACGCCACTCAGGGAAACACCAGAAACAGCCATTTTATAGGCACTAAGTTGAACCCAACTCTCCTAAGGTATGTCATTCTAGGAACAGTCCTGTGCCTAAACTATAAGCCAATATAACAGGCTTCTTATAGGGAAACTATCACCACACATGGAAACTGCCACAGCAAAGGGGAGTCTTACCCCAGCCCCAAAAAGGAAAGGAAGTACCGGAACTTTGAGTTCTTAAACGTTTGATTCAGGCTATCTTGAAGGTTGAGCCCATTTAAGGAAAATGTGTAATTTGAAACTTCTGCCAGTGTTTTGTGTTGCTAATCCTCAATGGACAGGTAGGAATTGCTCCTGTGTTAGGAAAACATGCTCCCTGCACATTTCTGACTAAGCAAGTCCTGTTGAGAGCTGTGGTTTAGAGGTCCCTGGATTTGGGCAAGACAGGAAAGTGGGAAAAGAGACTCTGTGCCAGGCCCAAAAGGTAGTGAGTGGCTTGGAGGTAGCAGGTAAAGCAAGCCTTACAGCAGGGGTGGCAGAGGCACTTCAGAATCAGTGTGACATCTATCTGCAGGTCAGTCACATCCAGTCCTGGCAGGGACTGCTCCCAGGTGATGAACCTGGAAGAAGAGACCCAAGTACTGGTACACTGGGGCCACATTGACAGATAACCCAGCAAGCATTTGGAGCAAGAGGTGGCCATGAAAACCAGGACCCCAAAGCTATCATCGAGATTCTTGGAAAAGGAATGCACATTCCCCTGGATGACAGGAGTTCGAAGCCACATGATCTTGTCTGCACTTGTTAAAGCCTACGGTGAGGGCTGAGTTAGGTGGGGGGAAGTTAAGGGAAAGTTTAAGCTGGAGATCAATTTTCACTTTCTTTCTTGGGTTATTTCTTACAGAGAAATCTACACGTATATAAGGTATTACACTATTTTCCTTTTGCTACAATTATCAATTTTTCAATAACATTTTTTAACATTTAAAATATGACTTCCTGAAACATAGTTTTTAGTAAATCACAGATATCACTGATGTGAGTTAGTCATTTCAGTGTTTTAGAAATGATGTCCCCAAAGCACTTGTTTTAAATCTATTTCTGAAATACTGGGAGGAGGATAGGTGGGTCTTCTTTTCCTATTTACTATAATTCAGTTCAAGTACAATTATTGTAACACAGTGTTGTGATTTTATTACAATAACTCAGTTTGGAAACTATGCCCTGTACACTAAAGAAAACCAGCCAAGCAGCCTGTAGGGTAGACAACACTAATTTCTCGTGTTCACTCTCTGTTGCTTTACTGTGCGTACAAGGCAGTCGCTCTTGGGACACTGAGAGCCTCCACGGCAGGGCTGGTTTCATTTATTCTTCCATACCCAGCACTGAGGGCACAGCAGGCATTCCATGAATGACAAATGAACAAATGAATGAACTTGCTAGAGACACAGATGTTTGCAACTTCTTTATTTGGTCTTCCCCTCACCCTCCCTACCCTTACCTGTAAAGATACCAATTGTAACACTCACAGCTCAATAAAATAAATAAATAAAAGCCACTTTATTGCAAGTGTGAATTTTACTGGGTAAAATATCAGAAAATTATGGATACACTGAATAAAGGACTCCAACTTTATCCAGCTGAAGAAATGAAGCATCACTTTGTAACTCCAGATGCTCCCACCAGGCAATTTTCTCCTTAGCTGAGGCCTGCATTTTCTTATTCTGTGCCATCCATGTCATTGATTCAGCTTAGCCTTTGCCATTAAGGACAGGAACAGTTAGACTTGGTGTCCTGGTTCAACTCCCAACTACAAAGTAAATGTCAGCAAGCTCTCCAAATCTCTAGACTAAAACAAACGTGACTCCTGTCCATAGACTTTTCTTCCTCTCACAATCCTATGTGTGCATTCATAAAGGCACTTAGAAAGTGGTAATCCCAGGTTAACAGCAGGAAGGTGATCCTGCAAGATGCGTAAGGGGATACCCATCTTCATGGAGCCAAAGAGATTTCATTCAAATTTTAAAGTATACAAGGGAAATAATTAAATCTTACTTGTTAAGAGTCAGTGGGATAGCTCTTGACTACATAGTAAAAGGGAGAAAGCCCACAGGGAAACTAACTGCTTTCTAGAAAA